AAATGACTCCACCGCCATTGCTCTGGGATGGGGTATCACGAAATTCGACCTTCCCACCGCTGAGGAGAAGCCCAGACGTGTTTGCTTTGTTGATATTGGACACAGCGACTACACTTGTTCCATCGTTGAATTCCGCAAGGGAGAGCTGAACGTCAAGGCCACAACGTATGACCGTCATTTCGGTGGACGTAATTTCGACAAGGCTCTCGGTGATCACTTCGCCAAGGAATTCAAGGAAAAGTTCAACATCGATATCAAAACAAACTTGAAAGCCTGGACTCGGACCCTCACTGCTGCAGAGAAACTGAAGAAGATCCTATCCGCCAACGCGGCAGCCCCTATGAGCATCGAGTCCCTAATGGATGACATTGATGTCCGCACTATGGTCAAGCGCGAAGAACTGGAAGAAATGGTCAGGCCGCTCTTGGAACGCGTCACGGTGCCCCTGGAACAGGCCCTTGCCGAAGCAGATCTGAAACCAGAGGATATCGACACCATCGAGATGGTGGGTGGCTGCACACGCGTGCCCATCATCAAAGAGAAAGTCAGCGAGTTCTTCGGCAAACCGCTTTCTTTCACACTGAACCAGGATGAGGCCGTTGCCCGCGGCTGTGCTTTCAGCTGTGCCATTCTCTCACCCGTTTTCCGCGTGCGTGACTTCTCCGTTCACGACATCGTCAACTACCCCATCGAATTTACCTGGGAACGGGCACCCGATATCCCCGATGAGGCCACTTCGTTGATCGTTTTCGGTAAGGGAAATGTCATGCCCTCGACCAAGATTCTTACTTTCTACCGCAAGCAGCCGTTCGATGTTGAGGCGCGCTATGGAAACATTGATGGACTGCCTGGCAAAACAAACCCCTGGATTGGCCATTTCTCTGTCAAGGGCATCACAGAGAGTTCCGACGGTGATTTTACTACGGTCAAGTTGAGAGCTAGACTTAACTTGCATGGTATTCTTAGTATTGAATCTGCATATTATGTGGAGGATGTGGAGGTTGAAGAACCAATTCCAGAGAAAGAAGGCGATGTAAGTATATTACCTTTACTATCCATCCCCCTGCCCCCCCCCCCTTTCCCGTCTTAAACACCGAAATTCTTTCCCTAGGATAGGTTTTTGTTTTTAACGAGAATTATATATCCCAAAAAAGAAAAACGTGTTTTCTAACATGAGAAAACTGTGGAAACAGGCCATGGACACTGATGCTCCTAATGGTGATGCCGAAGATGGTAAGCCGAAAATGCGCAAGGTCAAGAAGCAGGTGCGCAAGGGTGACTTGCCCGTCTCTGGGGGGACTGCTGGCCTTGATCCAGAGTCCAAGGAGCGCCTGACTGAGAAGGAGAATGCGATGTATATGGAGGATAAACTCGTGGCCGATACGGAGGATAAGAAGAATGAGCTTGAGTCGCATATCTATGAGCTACGGGATAAGATTGATGGTGTTTATTCCGAGTTTGCTAGTGACGAGGAGAAGACGAAGCTTAAAACGAAACTTGATGAGATAGAGGTATGCCTTTTTCTTCCAATCCAAAATTACGATTTTTGCAAAAAATTGACACTAACTCATCCCCTTTCCTCACTGCAGGACTGGCTCTACGAAGACGGTGAAGACACCACCAAGGCCGTCTACATTTCCAAAATGGATGATATCCGTTTCATCGCCGGGCCCATCATACAGCGCTACACGGATAAAGTCGAAGCTGAGCGTGCTGCAGCTCAAAAAGCGCAAGAGGAGGCGGCTGCGAAGAGACGTGAGGAGCAGGAGGCGGCGCAGGAGGCGGCAAAGAAGGCCGCCGGGCCCCCCCCAGCTGCTGATGCGGAGATGAAGGATATGGATGCTGCTGCTCCAGCTGGGGAAGTGGATAAGAATGCTGATGAATCTATGGCTGAGGTTGAGCAAGGTTCGTGATCGGGGTTATTAGGGACCATTTTCTTTTCTTTCTTTTCTTTGTTTGTCGTTAATGGTCCTTCCTTTTGCCTCTTTGTTTATTAGAATAATATGGACTTTTCTTACGCCTTTTTTTTTTTTTCGCGTTTTGTTTTTTTAAAGAGGGTTGGAAATGAATTTGATGATGAACTAGCATTTCCCCACTTTTCACTCTCTCAATCATCCCCCTCTCGCTTCCGTCTCTCCTTGCGATTCCTATTTTGTGTGTGATATTTCTTCTTTCCCCTATTTCCTCCTAACTTTTCATGAACTATCTTTGATTATATGTCCTTTGCGCCAAAAAAAAAAAAAAAAAAAAAAAAAAAGGCAAAGTGAATTTAAAATGTGAAGACAAAAAAGAATAGAAGACGAGTATCTAGTTGAATCGACTATTGTCTAATTTTGTCTGTGATCAAACCTCCGCTATTAATGATTTCTTTTCTTCCCCTCTGAAGTTCCTGCTTCTCTTCCCCCCCGCGGCCCCCAATTTTCCTAGGACAGAACCGACAATGTCGTAACTCAACTGTTCCCCTTCTTCACGCTGTTTACCAGTTCACTCCCACCCAGTGTGCTATCAAATGTGAGTATAAAGCACAAGCAAGGAAAAAACCACCAAAGCTCGGGAAGGTTCAAATGTCTGATAGTATCTTTTGTGACGATCAGAAATCATCTTCCTCATTTTCAATATTTCTCTTTACCATCTCCTCCCTCGTCAGGCCTACCTGAATGTAAAGCAGTAGCTAAATGCTAACAACACCATGTAGTTTATCCCGCAGGGCTCCTCAGTTCCCTTTTGTTGGATTCAATCGGAGGTCGGGCAGAATCCCGGGTGTAACATATCACTCATCAATAGATACAACGGTACAGTCAATCATGCTGGTTTGTTGACTGTCTCCTCCCCTTCCTCCCCCCGTAGCTAGCACCATCTGACGATTAGTTTGGGGCCGTAAAGGCAAGGTTTTCGGTATATTCCGTTTACTGGAAAAAATGGCCGGTATCGAACTAACCTATCAATTCCAAAGATGCGTTATGAATACCGGTGGTTGGGAGTGAATTTGCGATTGTTTCCGCGGAGCCGGGAGGGGGGTGGGAGACACAAGTCTCAATTTAATGCTGGTACTGATGAATTAGAAATTCCGCTCCGCTCGGCCCAATGTGGAGTTCCGCTCGGGCGAGAGGAAGCCATATCTAACCATTTTGTCACCTCCCACTGTCTATAACCCTTTTTGAATCCCAAACAGACGGTGGTTCTTTTATATTTCCCTTGTATCTGAAGGATATTATGGAGTTGACGTCGAGGAATATACAACTGTTACGTATGGAACAAAAATCAAGATAAAGAGGTTACTATTTGCTGAATACAAGCAGGCCAAGTTGGAGGAACCGTTGACATCATATCTTTAACTTGCGGGTTTTTCATCAGCTATCACGAAACTGCCGTCAGTCAGCACCCATCATCATCTACTTATTGAGAGAGGCGATGAGAGAAAGCCATGAATATGTGGCTCAGCATTTTGAGTTTTCAAGCAAGAGATGAAAGTAGAAAATGGCAGCTTCAATTAATTAACGAAAAAAAAAAAAAAAAAAAAAAAAAAAAAAAAAACAAAGAAAAGGAAAGGGGAAAGAGAGAAAGAAAGAAAGAAAGGCATTTCCTTTTCAAATCATTGAGACCTGAGGATGTGATAGCTCAAAAACAACAACGCTTCTACCAAGCTTTGGCTTGAGCCTTGAATCATGGCTGGTTATCTCAACGAGATACCCTGCTCTTGGTTAACCTACTAAAATAATCTGATAACTCGTTAGTTGAGTATAGTATGTCGTAGTTCCGGATGACAAAAGTTAATCTACGCCGGCAGTTTCATATGTCAATATCGCATCTTATCACTTCCAGGGATGCTTATCCTATAGACAACCCCTTTTCCAGCCCTGCACCGTTGAATAAAACTTCTGGAGATCATCGTGGTGCAATATCCAAAACCACAATGGTGTTTATTTGGTCAAAGAGATGACTACAGCCATGCTGAGCCACCATCATCATGTTCTCTCTAGGGTTAGATAGTGTGGTTTGACGTTCTCTGTTGTCTGGGGTGTTATATTTAGCATCCTAATCTGATGAACTTTGGCCAGCCTTGGTCCTTGAATGACCAGCGAGTTCAAAGGCCTGGGGTGGGAACTGTTTGTCTCTGGAAAAGGAAGAGGCTTGCAACCCACAATGAACCTTTCCCCGACCACCGGACAACTCAAAATCAGAAGAAGAAAAAAAAAAAAAAAAAAAAAGCTGCTTGACGACACCACGGGTCACCGGTTCCCCTGCATTCGGCCTGTTGTGAGTCAAGTTTTGCTGTTTCCAAAATTTGCTGCTCTCTTAGTGATCTAGGTCCCGATTAGCAAGGAGACATATGTAAGTTAGTTAATTATCATCGCCAATGATAGTCGATAGGTGGAAAACACAACTCCTGCAGAAGAGCAGGATGGGCCCCAGCTGAACGGACCGTGAAGGGGGTAAATTCGGAGACCCCGCGGGTCAAGGTTGTCTCCCTTGGAGGCGTGTCATAACATGACGAATCATACACGGATGTATAATAAACGGAGTCTGTGTTCTTTATTGCCCCAAACCCCTGGTACTTGATTTCATTTCTCAATCTGGCATTTTCTTCACCAGAAGACCCATGCATATATATGTAAGCTCTGTTAATGCTGTCTCTCTCGCTTCCTGTCAGACTGATGGATCAGATCCATTCGGGAGGATGTGATCCCGTCGCTAGTTACTAGTTACTGCTTTGGCAGGCGTGAGATAAGTTAAAAGGACCTTGCAAATGTACAGTTCGTTAGCAGACTGGAGCCCTAATATCACATGTCCCGCTGCTTTCACCTGGGAAGAGTTGAGACATGACATATTTGACAGACGGTCGACAAAAGAGTTATATCGCCAGGTCGGTAACGGCCCCACCTGGTTGGCTGCTTTTCTTGAGGAAAGCTCATGCTGGTCTCACGGGTCACTCCAAGAACATTCACATGGTAAAGGGTTTCGTTCCGTCTTGTCAATCATGGTAAATTCAGGATCCTTGTCTAGGAAAATTGTTCGTCAAACAGTGGTTGGTCAAACAGTTCTTCGTTATAGGTGAATAAGTTGGCTCCAATGCGCCCATTGGCACCCATGAATCTATCCCCGATTGAATTCGGGGTACCGTCAGCAAGACTGTCAAGGTGGGCTAAGGTAGCAATTTTGGCTTGAGAGAAGAGGACACCGAGAACCCTGAAAGATTCCCAGCTCCAGAAAAGTAGCAAATCCTTTCGCCCCATGATGATGGCCAACTTCCCTGCTCTCATCCTTTCGCTTCTGCTGTTGATGCTTCAAGGTCTGGGTCTAATTTGACGAATACGAGACCTCCACTTTTCTTCAAAGTCCCAAGGTTGTGGTCAAACCAGGTGTCAAGGGTTGAGGAACTTGAGGCTAACTTAGACTAGCAGGTGTCTCATAAGTTCGGGCTGTTAGGGGCAAACCCCTACCTAAAAATTGGAGATGGCAGGGAGTGGCAAGGCTTATTCTGACGCCTAACGGCTAGGCTCCACCGTTAACTCTGGAAGCCAACAAGCACCTCAGGAACGGAACAGAACTGAAGGATGGCGTCGACGCAGGTAAAGATATCACGCTTGGACGAACAACAGTAAAACAAACGTAATAGAATTGGCACAAACATTGCGAATGAAGATCGTAGTTGAAAAGTAAAGAAATTCTATGTAATAAATACATTGATTTATGTATATTATAATGCTTCCAAAAAGGACAGTTTGGTATATCCACCCATGCGCCCTGTTAACTACAGAAAAACAAATTAAAAAAAAAAAAGGCACTATTAAATGACCCGGTTAACCAGAACATTGGTGGCGAGTCGGGATCTACTTCATCCATACCCAAATCCATTGGATCAACTCCAGGACGTTATCTTTGGTAAGCCCTTCGTCTGGGAAATGCAATCTTCCTTTCCTCTTCTCGCTTGTTACCTGGACACAGTTGCGGAGATCGTTGGACCTCTCTGGGCCCCATTGCGAAAAGTTGAAACCGTGTTTTGACAGCTTGTAGCCTATGACAAGCACAAAGAATACCGGGACCTGGCATGTGATTAGGTTCTGAGGATCCTGAAAACTCCCAATAGCCACTTGGGTTTTATAACAGGGAGACTTACTCCAATATACGATGCAAAGAACCCTCGAATATCGAATGGGTCCTGTAAGAAGGAGGGCACTCCATTAAATACAACCAGGACGGTGCAGACAACCAAGCCGTAGCAAGCTTTTAACCACTGGCCGTGGGATTTATAAGGATATTGCGGGTGGTTACGGTCATAGCATGCGGCTTGGGCTTCTGATGTATTTCCGTAGCGCTTAACATCATGTAGTCTGCACATCAAGCAGGAAAGTCAAAATTCCGTCCGACAGTAAAGCAGTTAGACGTGGTGATTGGACATACGTTTTGAAAAAACCTAAGTAAGTCCCGCAGATGACAATGTACACAATCAAACAAGACACTGTACAGTTCGTCGAAAGCTCGCTCAGTCTCTAAAATCGCAGTTCAAATAGTTGGTGAGCAAAACTTTCATCCTGATCATGAGGAATGCTGCGTTGCTGACCTGCCCAGAGGACCCAATCCCCAAGTATCCGAGACACATCAATGCTCCAGTTACCAGAACTGCCCTGAGTGGTACACCATTGTGGCATTGACGCAGCCTTCTCGTGATAAACTCCGGCCCTGTTTGATCACGCAGCGCTAGAGTATGCAGAACTCTTGAGGAGACGTACATGGAGTTAATCCCGGAGGAAAAAGCTGAAAATAGGTAGATTGCATTGAAAAAGTGGGCAGCCGCTGGAAGACCTCCCTGGACTACGGCGATCAAAAATATTGAGTGTGCGCTCTCGGATTGCCCCCGGCCGTTGAGAAAAGGGTGATCGTAAGGGACGACAAATGAAGACGTCAACATGCAGAGGGTATACAGTGTCACTGCTCGTATGGAAACCTTGCGCGATGCCATCTTCATGCTCTCGGCATTGGACAAAGCTTTACTTTCTGCTGCTGTGGCTGCAACCATGTCCATGCCTACATACGAAAAAATAATGTTTGTGAAGGTCGTCCTTTGGACAGATGCGCGTCAATCTACACATCAAGTGGCCCATGGTATGAAATGGATATAGGGAGGTTGAGTCTTACCACATCCCAAGAAATGTCCCGACGGAACCCTCGATCACTCGCTGAACTTCGCCGGTCGTATGACTCCTGACCGTATATCGCGGCGCAAAAAAGGAGTACGGTGAGTCCCAGTCTTGGGTTCATGATTAGTTTTCACTACCCCCAACATGTCAAAATGTGGGCATATAAACATACATCTGGTACCGACTGGGGTCGTGTAGTAACTGGTATCCAGCGCTAATATCCCAGGGAAATGTCAGCCTTTCTTCGACAAGCTTTCGACGAGACGTACTGACGCTGAATGGTATCCAAAATAACCATCAGTAAGATAACCAAAACGAGAAAACAGATTTTTATGCACCCAAAGACATATTCAAGTTGGCCATAGTACTATAATCCTATGTCAGCAAAGTGTGTACATCATCAAGAACCACCTACAACACTAATCCGTACCTTCACGGGCAGCGTGTTGATTAATGTTACGGCTATCAAAACCACAGACACCCACACTGCGGGATGGACACTCCCTCCGGTCACCCATTCCAAATGGGTTCCTTTGTCGTCGATATACTTAAAGCGGATAGTATTTGCTACGGCGACTAGCTGGTCAGCGGCAAGAACAGCGTACGCGAACCTTGCACAGCTCCATTAGCTACACCGTTCCAAGCTGATTCCAGATCAATATTAGACGTATGTATGTATGTAGTTACCAGTATATCCAACCGATGGCAAAACCAACACCACGGTCTAAGAAGCGGCGAGGGAACTCCATAACAGGAGCATTCACCGGCATCAGCGCTGTCATTTCACCTAGACAAGAGACGACCGACGCGATAACCGTGCCCATAAGTATATAACCAAGGACGGCGCCACCAGGCCCAGCAGAGGCAAGGGATCGACCGCTACCGAGAAAAAGCCCTTTTTTGAAAACATTAGAATTTTACCTCTTCTGCACGTTTATTGTTTAAAGGAAAGGTACCATTTCCGATGGTGCTAGGAATCGAAATAGGTTCTGTTAGCGATATGTCCGTGAATTGCGGTTGTGGGGTTATTCAGGGGTAGAAAAGAGGCTCTTTACCCAGAGAAGGCTATCATCTTTTTAAGTTCGCAGTGTGTAGTCAGCATACAACCAACCACTCCTCTCCCAGCAATTGAACCAACATACATTAATTTGTCTCTCATTCAACACTCGCCTATAATGTCAAAATCTTGTAAGCCATAACTCAAAACACGCAGTTTGGTAGTCGGGCTCCTCACCAGACACTGTCCCCTCTCGTTTTCCGCTCTTCTTCCACTTGTGCTTCATCCATGAACAGGTGGTGTCCAACACGCTCACCTTGGTCATCCGATAATTGAGTGTCCTCTTCATGGAGTTCATGGAAGTGCGTCCTGGGAACAACCATTTCAGGTTTTTCGTTATCCATTAGAACAGATTGGTACGATACTGTCATACTGTGTCTTTCTGCCTGGCCTGTCTGTCAAGGTGAAAGGTAAAATGCGAAATGTGAATGATCTGGGGATATATAAGGCGTTGCATGGTGAACGGGCAAGCTCGTATTCGTCCCACCAGTCTATTCTGCTGTATTCTTCTGGTGTGCTCAGGCTGGAAAAAGAGCAATGATCAGCTCCTTTAGAGACACCGCCCCTCTGCAGGTCTGCATCTGTCGCCAGTGTCCAATAATGGACTTCAGTATCAGGTACTAGAGCTGACGGTCGATTTGCAAGGAGAGGGATGACACGACGACCAATGCATACGAAAACAAGTGGCATGGATCTTCCTATTCCTGGGCTCCTATTGGCGAACGGGTGGTCCCCTGTCCTGTTTGTGCCGATTTGGATAAGATACGCAGCAATATTCTCGGTCATTGGCTAGATGCGGGAGGGATCATTTACCGTTGCTCCTGAGGCTTCAGGTGTCTTAGGAGTGCCGAAGCTAGTGGCCTCTCCCAGCCATGATTTTCATGATTCCCAAACAATACGACTTCGTATTCCCCCACCGAACGTTAGTCTCCCGATGAGCCGCAAAGCTATCTCTACTGTTTGGAGAGCGAAATCTCGTGGTTATTATTCCACTTGCTTCAGACGATCCAGTGTCAATATAGCCACGGGAAGTGGAATTGCATGCTGCCCGGGCTTGCTTAAACGGAAGAAAAGCAATGGCATTATTATTCGCTGTTTCTGCGGAATTCCCAGCCTTTCACGCTCTGTGATCGGTTCCCTGCTTATAAGACAGCCACCTGCGGAATAGATAACTATTATCATTTCCTGAATGCGGAGCATTCGTCCCTCTTTTGCATTAATTACTCCATTTGGACTATAATCCACTCCGTATGTAAGCCCCAACAAGCAACCCACGTCTGAACCTTCTTCCCCAGCTTTCCTCGAACCCACCCAGACTCCTTGGAAGTGATCCTGTCTTGGGACAAAAGTCCCACATGTCGCTGCTCCATACCATGGTGGGGTTAGGGACGGTGCATACAGCTAGCGAATAACACTAACTACCTGAGAGATCCAAGTCTCAACCACCGGCTGAATTTTCTTGCGGATATTTGTCAGTTAGCGACAGATCTAGTTTATAACGATCGGTGAAGCCCTAACGGTGTGGATTATCTGACTGTTTGGTAACCGGTCCACGAGGCGGAATTACTCGGGACTCAGGTCCTCTTCTGCCATGGCGACAACAGGCACATCGTCGTTATCTATGCGCTGGGGGGATGTCTGGCATGCCCTTGCACTTCGAAGCGATGTGGAAGATATCATCAAGGAATTGTTAGGCCATTTCTCGTTGGAGAAAATATATGCAGAAGGTGATAAGGAATCATATCAGACCCTAACGACAACGTTGCTTTCGCAGTTGAATGCCATTTTCTACATCCAGCGTCTGTCACTACCAGCAGAAAACATAAATGCAGGGCCATATCTTGGTTTTCTGGCGAGTTGGGAAACAACCTTGCGATGTGTGGAATTTGTTGTACAAATTATTGAAGAGGGCCGTGAGAGTTTGTGGGAAGTTCGACGGTTACGGGACCATCACCTCGCCGAATTCCTTTTGCTGTGTCTACGATTCCTGTCACTTCATCCGAAAGCGCCAGCAGGCCAACGGGCAAAAGATCGCCGAGAACGATTCTCTCGCATACATAGATCCCTGGAGCGTGTTTATGATAGCTACTCAGGCCCGAAGTCATTTCTTTTGCAGCTTTGCAAAGAAGTAACATGCTCTTTACGCAACGACCCTGATTCGCTAGCGCTTCCCTCAATATATAGATATGAACTACCAAATCTAGGAATAGAATTGGTAAGCAACATCCAAATGGTAACGGTCTCCTTATATCATTCTTTGGACTAACGCTTTCTGCTCATCTCTAGTACCCTCTTGCCCCCTGCTTGTTATCAGAGTCGGTCTCTACAATCGTTCCAAAAGATGGATCATCTGACGATTGGTTAAGTCAGTTCATGGCTCTACGGGATGTCACTCACTTTGTTGTAGGGGCAAACGTTCAATATGCAGTCAATACAAGGACACGAAATACTCAACTGCAGGCGGTATCTTCCGAAACTCGAAATGCAGTCTTGACATCTCTCGACAATATCAAGTTGCCGCATCATTTTTCTAAAGCAGATTTAATTGGAGCGTTCATCAACAGTTTTCGAATTGTGCTTCCAAATACCCCCAACGTTACAACACAGGACTCTTCTGAGCCTGATGATGATGAGAGCACGGTTGACGCTCTAGATGCTCTCTGTCAAAAGCTTAGTGCTCGCCGATTGATTTGCCGTGTGAGTGATAGGGAAGTAGTTCATAGCATAATGGAAATCACTCGGAACATTGCTCTATTTGATGATCCCAGCGGACAATTCAGAGCAACCCGCCCCAGACTGTTTGTTTTAAATTGTCGAAAGTGCCACTTCGCAGGATATTCCCAGCTAAGATATTTGGAAAATATTAATCTTCCAGTACGTTGTAGGCTTGGCGAAATCCTTTTCTTTTCCTTTTAGTAACATTTCTATTGCCACATATGCTAACTCTTCTTTCTATCACAGCTTAATTTGGGAGAAACCTCAGAAATTTCTCTGCCTCAAGGGACAAATTGTAGACACTGCGGAGACGTTGTGACAATGGCTCGTGAGATACAACTTGCCCTTCGTACCTGGGATCTTCTCTCCCACATTGAATCCAATGCTGATACAATCAGTGTTGAGAGACACTTGCCAACCCAATTCCAACTACTACCTCCCAAGACTGAAAGTAGTAGTCCTTTCCCGTCATATAATAATTTGACCAACCCAGGGAGCCCGAGATCACAGGATATAAATTCGCCCGATTCAGCTCGATTTGAGCGCCCCACCACAGCCATTCTCACACCTTCATCCCCCTTTACTTCTGGGATCCGTCACAGATTTGATGCTCCTCGAAACGAATTTTCGCCTATGGACAGTTTGACAGCTATCAATGAAATAGGAGACACTCCTCTGGGCCAAGCCAACGCGGCGGATTCACAAGTGTCACTCGGTTCTCCCGAATTCTCTAGCCAGGGAACGAATCTACCCAAGCTTGAGAAAAATATCTCCACAACAACATTTGAATCCGTCCCATTTTTGCGTTCGCGAACATTACAGCCCCCTGGAGTGTCCGATAGAGGGAAAAGTGGTTGGAGAAAACTTGGTACTAGAAAGGAATCCATTGCAGCTTCTGGAGATACAAGCTCTCTTTCATCATCGCTTTTGGAGTCACAAAAGCTAGACGAAATCCCTCTGAAAAGCCTAGCCAACGCGATGAAGAGCGTGAAAGGAAGATTCGCCAAAAATATCAACGTTTATCTTTCTCAAAATTCAACACTTGCCCTCTTCTGGACTCAAACCACGATACATTTGTGGGATGTTGGAACATCTCCGCCTACCATGAAACGCGCATTTTCAACCGACAGTACGTGCCTTCTTGCAGCAGTTACCAAAATGTACCTGGCATACGTGATTGGCACCCGCGATAATAAACTTACGGTAACTTCCCGCATTCAAAACGGTTATCGCAGTTTTTTGACTAACTTGATGCTAGCTCCGGATAATCAACCTTACTGATGCATCAGCACCTGTTGTTGAGTACCGTATGTCTTCAACATTATGGTGCAAGTGCATAACAGTTTGCCCAATGGAGAACTACGTCGTGATCGGATTTGAAAATTCTATTGTTCGGTTCTTTAAGACAACAGACTCGGAAGCCCCGCGAGAAGACCGGCTCCATGGCCTTTTCCATAGAAATTGTACAGCCTGTACATTAGACACTCTTTCATTTTCCAGAGATGGGCTTGTGCTTCTTGCCAGTACCCGAAATACTAAAGGCGTCATCCAAATATTCCAATGGAAGTTTCCCTTCGTGGTATTTCACGAACTACCTGCTTGCAGGTACTATGTACCGTTACACGAATCCGAAGATAATGGAATATCAGCCGCAGTGTTCCGATCTTCGCGTCGAGGAGATGACCTAGTGTGCATCTCGACGTGGACACAGTCAGGGGTGCCTATTCTAACCCACCCTCAAGAGGGGAATAAAACTCAAGTCAAGGATAGTACCGGCCGCCATGGGAAACTTGGTAACAGGATACAATGTGCTTCCTTCTCTCCATCTGGTTCTGAGCTCGCCATGGTAAACGACCAGGGTTATCTGTATCAGATTACCAATCTAGACTCGAGTCCTATTGATATCAAGAGATTGGCCACATCCAGAGAACTCACGACGAAATCTGACTCATTTGCCATGTCGTATATGACCATGACTGATGAAGATGCCATTATCATGGCTTGGATTGACTCATCAAAAGGAGTAGCGTATGTCAAAAGGGTACCAGTGACAGCCCAAGTACGTAGAGTTTTTCAGTCTCCACTTCTACCTCCTGTCCTCTTCCCGACTTTAATGGCTTTTCGAACAATGTTTGCTAACTGGATAATATAACTAGGGAGATATCGAAACCTCAATGGCTGCTATGCCACAGAAACCACCATCACCTAAGTATGAGTTAGCGGAAAGTGGTAGGGATCCTCCACAGATGCAGGAGCTGCCGCGACAGGCGTCTTCACTACTACCAAAGAGAAGCGTAAAGCCAGCAGTCGAACTACCCGCAGACCCCCCTAGGTTTTTAAGTCGGTTTCGGGGAATGACTAGATAAGAGCTACGAGATCGTGGGTATAGCTTTTCTACATTTAAGTGCGCGCTATCAGCCTCTAAATACCTTGTCTGATAGGACGGGGTCAATCAGAGATTCCAATGCATGGGCAAAATTACAATAGGGTAGCTGTGACTCTAGCGACTTTGAATGCACCACGAGGGAGACGATGTTCAACCAACTAGCGAACCCCCGATCGCCCCCGTCCGACGTGAACTTAAAAACCCGGCAGTTCCATGCCATTTTTGAGTCCAGAGTAGAGCTGTGGAGATTGTATATATTGGATTATCATCTTACGATCATCCGGTTGAGCATGCTGCTCTATCTCTTGATCCGACGGCATTCCTAGCCCTTTTCGTTTTTATCGTTTTACATATATGATCTGGTCAACCTCTTTAACACCCCCAGAAAACGAACCAGTCTCTAACGAGAGATTGTATATATTGGATTATCATCTTACGATCATCCGGTTGAGCATGCTGCTCTATCTCTTGATCCGACGGCATTCCTAGCCCTTTTCGTTTTTATCGTTTTACATATATGATCTGGTCAACCTCTTTAACACCCCCAGAAAACGAACCAGTCTCTAACGAACTTACTGAGACCCATGACTTTATAATTTCTTTATATACCCCGGCCTATGCATTGAACTTTTATTTGTTTGGCGCGATATGGACGGGCTCTTTTTCCTAGTTACAACGCCATTCTAGTCCATGATATTTCTATAAAGGAAGGAACAGTTTTACTCAGAGACATTGCCTGTTACATTATTATGTGTGCTCTTCCTTTATTTTCTCCCTTCTCCTAAGTTTACCATCTGCCACTCCGCACCCCATAAAGGGGTGGGATTAGTCGTATTACCCTTTCAATATTTTTTCATTCTTCAATTCAAAACAATAACTATTTAGCACATTTAACAGTCCGTATAAGCCTCTCCGAGAAGAATTAAATTATTAAAATGCTCTCTTTCTTAGTTCAATAGGAATCTAGATTTTTCAGAACATGTCTCCACAGACTAGGAATGGAAAACCGTTGAAGTCAGATTATCAAATTTCTGGAGTTGAAGAGCGGATACAGATTAATTTAATGAACCCGAAAAATGAGAGCGGAACTGATGCATAGCTCGTATCGAGTCAGATTAGCGGAGATTCCTAGTAAATGAATAATGCGACAAAAAAAAAAAAAAAGAAATGGATGGACACGGTCCCGGGTGATAGCGTCCATTCAGCAACCAAGTGGTGCGCTTGTAATGCATTGGTCCTAAACGCATAGTTGCCACCCCCTCAGGAATAGGCGGAACACCCGGCAGGATTCCTCTTCCCATCATCCCTAGCTGAAATACAGACGCTTAGCCCATTCTAGCATTGTAAGCTCGTAGTTGTGAGTTTTCTTTGGCAACATTCAACATCTCAAAGCCGCGGTGTAACGACTCCGCAATGACGTCTTGAAGAGTCATGAAGGCATGTGTGCGGCAACCAAAATGTAATCCCGGGGTGAGAGAGCTCACAGCAAACATTTGTATGGCCGCAGAGCCGTCAAGATAGAGCTGGCCACCCAGCTTCAGTACATCCTAAACAATGCGTGCTACCCTGCGGTAGTCGGGGAGGTGCTCTACTACGCCGTACATGCGCAGGGTCATATGGTTCTTTAGGACGGTGGTCGAGAAAATCTTGTAGCAAAACCTCACCGGGCAGATCATTGTCGTCAATGAGATGCTGGATATAGCGAGCTGAACCCTGCGGAGAGGGTTGAGCGTTATGACATGCACGCCTCGAGCACCACAGAACTGCGTCACGCCGCCCCATTCGCCGTCAAACTCAAGCAATCTCGTCCCAGATTTGAGCTCCAGGCTTGAGAACATGGTTTCTAACTTATGTTCCGAAGCCTTTTCGATGGATTCGTCTGGTTGCTTGAACAATCCCTGTGACTAGATCCTGAAACGCTTGTCGACAAACCTGAGATATAAAATCACCACCGCGGTAATAGTGCTCGACGACAGCGTTGGAGTTGAGAGCAGTTGCTGTCCGAATGTAATCCCAGATAAGCTGCATCTTCTGCCGAAGAGGCACTTTCTCCTGTAGCTTCTCTCAAGCGTCGAGCAAGCACCAAGATCTCCCCCTCCACCTGAATATCGCCCGTATCAAACGCACGACTGACGCCCAACTCCGTCGTTGGCGTCCGAAGAACACGAACAGAGCGGAAAACCACGCTGTAAAAACAGTTCACCTGTACCGACTGAAATAACGGAGCCATCGGCAATTGCATTTCTCCTGGTACATCATCAAGTCCAACAAGGAGGGCGGCGACCCGTGTGCATGGGGTAAACTCTTAGGAGAGGTTTCCAGTGACATCTTTTTCTAGGTCAAAGAAATACGGCACGACGACAAGGGAGGGAGCCTCGAATAGTTAACTGCTTAGGGATCACAGTAACTAACTAATCCCCGTTTCGTCATCAAGAAGTGTACGATGGGAAACCCAATATATGCGGCGCTTCAACACCCCCGGCTGCCCGTGACTGGTTGATTCCGCCCACATTGATAAAAACAACAAATCATCATGAACCCTGTTTTACGCTGGAGACAGGGAAATGCACCACCCTGGCCTTTGCCATCTGTAACTAAGTAAAGGGAACCGCGGGTAAAGAACGCCATAGCTCGAGATTAGAGAGAAAGGGAGATAAACCACCGCCTACCACGGGCATTGATCGATATTTTGTTTTTGAATTGATTCATCCGGACTGTAGCGATTCTGTTGTGAGCAAATGATACGCCCAATTCAGCTTCCCCACTCCTTTGGCTGAAGCTGAATCGGACAATGCCGAGGTCTGTCTTGGAGCCGAGCCGTTGTTCTGCCTTTTGCGGACGACGGATATTGTCCGGTTCACTGCCTAGGTAAGAAGAGAGTAACCCCAAGACGGACGGTATATAAAGGAATGGAGGCGGGGGCACCTTGGACATTCGTGCTGTTGAGCACATATTTTGACGAATTAATTACGTGCTGTATTATACCTACCTACCTACTTACATTCACTGCATAAAGGAAGAGAAGGGTGAAAGTGATACAAGCCGGCGGGCGAAAAGACAAGACAAATATAAATGGCCAACGAAAGACTCCAGGCTGTGCTTTCGCAGCTGAAGCCTGCTACTGGCGGGCAGACCGCTATTGACAAGATGTGAGTGTTTTCGTTGCTCACGTTTCCCATATAAAGCTGCTGTATCAGTGATCTAATTGCGAACAACCTGGCAGAACTCAAAAGAACCCGGATGATATTGTCATTACCTTGGCCCTACGGACGCCTATGGCCAAAGGATTCAAGGGTGGCTTCAAGGACACAGATCTCGACTATCTAGTATGCCAGCTGCTTAAAGAAGTCATGGCACAATCGAAGCTGGATCCCAATTTGATTGACGATGTCGTCTTGGGGAATGTATGTTAAACAAGTCCTCACATAAAGGAAAATGCATGAAACAAGGCTGGGCCACATAAAGGGCCAGATTGAGAATATCATACAAGCCAGTCGCATATACCCCAAACGGAGGCCTTTAAACAACTAACCAACAACGACAGGCCAACAACGCCAAAGCCTCCACAATCTGCCGCACCGCCGCCCTCGCCGTGGGCATCCCCTACACCTCTGGCGCTGCCGCCATCAGTCGCTTCTGCTCATCGGGCCTCATGTCGATCCAAAGCGTCGCCTACGAGATCGCACAGGGCGCCATTGAAGTTGGTATCGCCTTGGGCGCCGAGTCCATGACCAAAGGGCCCGATCGGACCCCCCAGCCTTTCCATCCGGAAATCATGAAGCATTCAGATGCCGCAGAATGCATGCAGCCCATGGGCCAGACGAGCGAGAATGTCGGAGATGATTTTGGCATTACCCGCGAGATGCAGGATAAATATGCTGTGGAGTCATTCCGGAGGGCAGAGGTGGCGCAGAAGGCTGGCTGGTTTGAGGATGAGATTGTGCCGATTCGGACGACGGTGAAGGGTGGGAAAGATGGGAAGGGGCCCGAGACGGAGATTGTTGTCACCAAGGATGAGGGACCCAGATATGGGACGACGATTGAATCGTTGAGTAAAGTTCGGCCTGCGTTTCCGCAGTTTGGCAATAAGACGACGGGTGGGAATGCCAGTCAGATTACAGATGGAGGTTGGTTATATATGTTTTATCCTGCCCTCCCCGAGTTCCCCCAGCACTGGCATTTGTTTATGCAAATCACTGACGGCTACATTCCCACACATCAGCCGCTGCCGTAATCCTCATGAAGCGCTCCAAGGCCATCGAACTCGGCCAACCCGTCCTCGCCAAATTCGTCGGCGCCACCGTTGCCGGTGTTCCCCCTCGCATCATGGGCATTGGCCCTGCCATGGCCATCCCTAAGCTGCTCTCGATGTACAACCTTCGAAAGGAGGACATTGACATTTTCGAGATCAACGAGGCATTTGCATCCATGGCAGTTTACTGCATTGATAAGTTGGGATTGGATCATGAGAAGGTGAACCCTCGTGGAGGTGCGATTGCGCTGGGACATCCATTGGGGTGCACAGGGACGAGACAGGTGTGTACGATTTTGAGTGAGGCACGGAGGACGAAGAAGAAGGTACTTGTGACGAGCATGTGTGTTGGAACTGGCCAGGGAATGGCGGGGTTGTTTGTTAATGAACAATAAGGAAAAGGGTTGGTTTAGATATATTTATTGATAGGCGGTAAACATACTTGAACTTTGTAGAAAAGGAGGTCATGGATCGAAGGGTGAAACGTAAGACCTATGGGCTGGCTATACGTATTCTTCCGCTAATAAATTCAAGGTGGCTATCCTGTATAAAAGAAAATGAATCACCGGGCCTAACTGCACCACACATGCAAAATCTCCGTGAAAGTGAATCCTAAATAGCACGTACCCTTTAACTACCCGCATTAGCATCTTCCACATCACTCACGTTCTTCCTCCCCTCTTCCTCCCTCTCCCTCTTCGCCATCGCAGCCCTCTTTTCTGCCGCCTCCGCCAGAATCTCCCTGCGACTCAACCCACCCAAATCCCTTTCCCTGCCCCCTAACAAATACTCGCCCCCTGTCCACCCACCATGATCCACCACCTCCCCACGCCCACTCGCCATTTCTTCCCAATCACTTGGATTATAAAACTCCTCACCCGTCAACCTCTTCCCACCACCCCTACCCGTTCCCCAATAATCCCCCCGTTCCACCTCCTTCTCAACCTGTGTCGTCAAGTCCCAAAAGTCCCGATCATGATCGCTATACACACAATGGGCCAGTTCGTGGCACAGCGTCTTGCGAATGGTGCGGTAGTCGCGGTAGCCATCGTAGGCATCGGTGCGCAAGCGCAGTTCGATGACTTCGCCTTTGTTCCTGTTTAAGCCTAGTGTGCGCGAAGAGACGGTTGTGTGTTCAGCTGGGTCCATCTCGGTTAGGAGTGAGACGGAGAATCGGTGCTTGTTCATGGCGGAGCGGATGCCGGGGTCGTCGCGGAGACGGGTTAGGTAGGATAGGGAACGTGAAGGGTTGGGGAGGTGGGCTAGAGGAAGGAGGGTGTGGAAAGTGTACTGGGAGGTGGTGGGACGGGTACTGCGCCGGGTGGGTTTTATGGGTTTTATGCGAGGGATGTTGGAAGGGGATTTAAGGGAGGAGGCCCCGTTAATGAAGTTTACTTCGGCGGCCGTGCTGCCAAAGAGCGTAATTTTGAAGCGAGGATGGGAAAACGGGAGGGTGGTGAGTGAGATTGGTTGGAATGGGTGCTTTTGCATTCCAGGTTTGGGGGATATGAGGAGCTTTTGATTTGCGGGTGGGATGGAAAGACGGTCTGATATGGCAGCAGAGAGGTCTTGGAGTGTGGAGGTAGAGGATAGATTGAATATGTGATCTTTTCCACGATGATTGACTTCTAGGGTTATTTGGTTATCATGGACATCTTCCGGATTGCCTACGGGCACTGCTGGGGTGTTGTCTCCTGGTTGGCTATCTGCCATCACTGGAATGGATATGATCGGCAATACGAGTCAGAGTGACGATACACATAAAACTTCTGTGTATTAGTTCTATCTGTTGGAAGAAGATGAGGGGATATTTACCAGAAGAAAAGGATGCCCTTTCAATAGGAGAATTTCTCACTGCCACGGCCTCCGCCTCCGCCGTGTTGTTGTATCGTTGTAGAGGCGGAGAAGGGTGGAGAATGTTCCGCCGCAAACTGACTAATACCAGCAATTAGTTAGTTATTAGTTAATCAAGCTGTTGGATAGCACGTGACTTCCTTTCCAACTGGTGCTCTTGAAGTTCCTTGGTTTTGGACAAAGTTTCCAAGTCATGCTCAGCTTATTTGTTGAACTTCAAAATTAATAAATATGTGATGGTTTCTACCCAAATCCAACCTCATTAGTAGTAGGTAAGAATATGTAGCACGGAACAAACAGAATTGAGAAATAGAATATCAAAACCAAATCAACAAAAAGCGGCACAATGGCGACTAATTCGGACGTCCGTGAGATATGTTCAAAATCCTCCAGGCCTTTGCTTTGGAGAGGCATGTAAAATATATATTAAAAAGATTGAAGTCCAGAAATGCACCCAAGAATATGCATTATCTAGCACTCAATTGCTCCCAGAGAAAGAAGAAGGTAAATGATAAATAAGGAAAAACCGAGAAATAACCCATGCAGATCGAATGAGAGGAATAAATTCCCAAGAAGGTAGAAGTGAATAAAAGGAAAAAATATGCAAAACGCAATGGCACTATACAAACCCCTCCCCAAAAATATGGTGGGTACGTGTTCGATCCAACGCTCATCCAACCCGACATGCAATCATATACCAAAAGATACCAATTAGATATATATATATATATATATATATGAAGTATTCACAAATCCAAAGAACTATAGGGGTCGACCGGTATGCGTTGTATTGAATTGAATCCCCAGAGAAAGTATCGTTCGCAAGGGAACGAGGGTTGAATCGAACTGGAAGAATGCTAGACAACATCACAATTTGAATCGCAGGGGAAGAGAGTTGGAAAGGCGTTTTCGGTTTTAGTTCTAGTTTCGCCTTCTCTCCTCTTCATCCTCGTTCTTATGTGTGGCCCTATAATTTGCGCATATTCACCCTTACAAAGCCGCTTAACGAAGCCACAGCTCTCTAGGGCTGAATGGGATTCGGATTCCGGCCAGAGAAGGATTGCGATGCAATACGAAGATCATATAAGACCCATTTGTTTAGAAAGCTGTCTGATCTCATCTTCGCGTATCCTTTTGTCGTCGTCTTGTTTCATTTTTCTCTCTTCGGGAGTCAACTTCGCTGTTGCGGCTATTCGTTTCTCGTCTGGTATCCATAATTCGAGAGTTGGGTCCCAGTAGTGGCTGTAAAAATGGAAAACAGGGTCAGCTTCGGGGCGAGCCACCAAAAAAAAAAAATAAATAAATAAATAAAATAAAATAAATAAATAATAAAAAATAAGGGAAATTTCAAAAGGTCCTGCTCACTCCTCATGATCCTTAATGACCAACGCACTAGGCCCGTACTCCTTAACCAAAATTTCATAATACTTATACGGAATCCTAGCGGGGACGCCTTCATACATGCTATCTCGCATGGGATATATATCCGATATCTTATACTTGTGGAAGTTTTTGCACTGGAGGATTCCCGGCTCTGTTTCTGGGTTAATCTCACTAATGCCTGTGATGTCGATGTAGAGCCCATTGCGCGTGTCGATCCAGCGGGCGTCGATGATATTTTGGCCCTGACCGCGTTCCCGTTGTCGGGAGTACGGGTTGACATCTAGTAGGTAGTCGCGGTTGGGCTGGTTGGCGTCAGGTTTATAGTGGCAGATGGTGTGGTTGAAATGGTCGGCCATGCGGCGGAGGGTACTAGTGTTGACTTGGGTGTCGATATCCCAGTCCCAGGGGAGTATCTGCATCAAGCAACAAAGGAGTAGACAGTTTAGATATATTTTCTTCATTTTTACAATGACTTTGTCCCTTTAAAGAAATGCCATGAGGTAGAAGCAAAAATGGGTTAACCAGCCTTCCCATTCCACCACCAACCCAACAATGTCCCATGCGCAATCCACGTCTCCAGTCCATTCTCTCTGAAAAAATTCAAATACGCCCGAGACATATGCAACAGGGTATCAATTCGGTTGTCATACGTGACCACACCTTTGAAAAATCTCGTATCATAGTGGCCTAGAATATCATCACCGCCAGGTTCTTGGAAGTATTTTTCCTCTGGCGGCTCCACGACCTCCTCCTGATGAGGGTTTTTGGAATATAGGTGTGGGAGAGCAATGACTGAATGTGCGAATAACGACGTGGCTACGAGAAGGTATGGCCAGTAAAGTTTCATGTTTTCGTTTTTGTTCGTTTTCGTACCGTTGGGCGTGCTTTCCGCAGAATCATTAGTTATTAGGACCTGGTGTTAGAGGCCAATTGGATTCACATCAAGTTATATATAAAAATTTCTGCATCGGGGTAGAGGTTATTATTCGGAGTGTGCTTGGGGGGGATGTTTGAGAGGTTGAAAAAGTTGAATAGGGGGCGAGCATGTAAGAGCGGATGATGATATATTAAGAGGTAGTTTTAAGTAGGATAAGGAGATAAGAGATATAGAGTATGAGCCGGAGTCGTATCACGAGAAGAATAAAGAGACGAAGAGAAAAGAGGATGGAGGATGGAGGAGGAGCTCAGAAGCACAGAACCAGTGGAACAGAGAAAGGAGAGAAGAAACAAAGTTCCAAGAACGAGTCTTCAGCCATGGGGTGCCGCCAAGGACTAGGGAGAGAAGAGTGGTTCGCAGAGGCTAGAGGAGCGGCAAAAGCTGTGGTCCTCTGGAGTGTTTGTGACATTGTAAATCCTTCTGTATCCACTGCTAGGACGTAGCGCGAGAGGTAAGTCATCAAGAAACTAAAATAATAATCTGTTTTGGAGTTCAACGCCATTATTGTTAGCGGTAGGTTTTCCAACAGCAAAGAAATAAGATATTATGATCTCATATCTCATAAACCAGCGACACAAACCGTGGTTGGTCAACGGAAGCTTGAGCTAGAGCACAGATCCAGTCAGCACCTTAAATGGAGTCGTCCGGGCAGCTCCCAAGGATATTGCTGGTCGTTTTTGACATCATTTTTGGTATGAGACCACGCAAGCATTCTGATTTAAAATGGTACTCTGTAGGAGAAGTTATCTAGAAATGGAGTGGAGACGAGTTACTATCAGGATGGATATGATGGATATGGGACGTTTGTTTGATAAGTCGTCTGTCGCATGCCACCTTACCGCTTTTGGCTAAAATTACGGGAGGTACGAGGTATGTAGTGATATTGATACGTATTCATCGTACCAATAGGCTGAACTGATACAATAACGCGGAGGCCTGGCATAACTCTCCTACACTTCACGCAGTCACAAAAAGTCAATATGCGTAAAACTTTGAGAGAGAAAGTCTACAGGAGAGATCTATGGGATATTTGTTCACCTTATTTAGCACTTTATATGGAGTAAGATTGCAAAATCCGTCAATAATAACTTTCCACCAACCTTGATTGTGTCTCGTCCTACAGCATGCATGGATGCTTCCCAGCCATGTCAATCGGTGTACGTATAAACTTCCACGTTTGAGACCCCCAGGATTCCTAAGCAAGGAGAAAAGGAAACGGTGAAGGCAAAGGAGAAAACAGGGTTAATGCTTGCTAAATAAACTAAACGGTCTCCAAATTTTTTGCGTAGTTTTTAACATCTTGAACACTCCTCTCCGTCTTGCATTCCTCACCACTATATAGTTTACGGCGATTGAAACACTAGATAGCGGTCGCTAAAAAGTTTTGACTCACGCTACAGTACACTAAATCAAAAGTAGAATTGAAGAGAAGAGCTAGAGTATGCCTGGCACCATAGGCTTGAGTGTAGGGAATCTTGCGCCAATATATAACTGAAACTTTAGGTAAAGGCGTCTTAAGTCTTTAACTAAGCTGTTTAACTATCAATAGCGGGTCGAAGCCTAAGAATTAATTAAACGAATAACCAATGTGGCTCGTTGTAGTGGCCTTGGAGAGTCGAAACTTTTTATCAGCCACTGTGTGTGTTTAGTTACATGCTTCCAATTTTTGACTCCACGCCAAACTCGGTGAACGGGTCACTCCAAATCTGGGCAGCATGCTGGAGTCCTTCGTGTTCAGCCAGAGGAGCCCCAAGTCTCTGCTTGATTCCTTGCTTTTTTCATCATAGTGTCAAATCTTCAGAAACAAGTTTGCTGGATGTTGACATTGCTTTTCTTCTTTTCTGTTCTGATGGAAAGTCAGTGACACACAAAGCGCCCCAGAGCATCAGCTTCAAGAGGAGTAGGAGTAGGTATTGATTCCCAGCTCCTTGTTCACATCTCTAAGAACTGAATGTCCAAAAATAGTTACAGCATACATACTTCATAACTGATTTTTTTATATTTCTGTGATGTATGCCTGGCAGGTATTGCAGATTATAAATGATGCAATGATGAACTGACCATATGGGAAATAGGAAAGAATACAAACTGAACGAATAATAGATCAAAGTTTGGTACATTATCCCGCACACTTTGTAGAAAATACAAATAACTAGGTAATGAGGACACGCCTTGAAATTTCCTACTCTCGACTCTCCTATTCCCTAAATAGTTCTTATGAATTCCACGTAAACAGACATAGGTAATCTACGCGATCACAACTCGCTAACCAGATAGCAGGGACAAATGAGAGAAGAAAGATAGAAGGAAAGAAAAACATGGCGTCTTAAAATAGATGCAGGATATAAAATGAAATAATGTAGCCCCTGCTCCTTTGAAGTCGAATCCCTGAACTGGGTCATCTCTATTTTGATGGTTTGACCAAAATAGGGGGCATATCCTTCCAACGAAATCATTGACATAATACACATTTCACTAATAAGGATGGTGATGAAGACCGTCATTGCTACTGGTCACGCTCCCAACTTCAGACCAGCTGGCTGGGGTATACGTGCCATCACGGACGGATCCTAAGTCGCTCAGCGTTCCATCTGACATGGGGTCAAACGGCCCATTCTCGATATGGCTGAGACTCGAGGCGACTGAAACTGCCGTGGAAACATGTTGAAGAGAATCAGTTTCTCGCGGGTCCTCGAACGGATTTTGAGGATGGCTCTGTTGTTGCAGATTTGGTACGGTAGTATTTAGGTCAGTGTTCGGGGGACGTGCGTAGTAGAAGTCCGCTTCGCCGTCTTCTGTATGCAGCGATGACGTAAGGGAGAAATAGTTTGATTGCGATGTGTGTTCATGTCGTTGTCCCTGGTCCTGTCCCAGTGTCTCACTCTGTGAGGCAAACGAAAAGTCCATGCCTGGGATTTCTGAGGTTGGAGTCAGGTCGGCCAACGACTCTGAAGGATGGTTTGACGATGTTTCTGACGGAAGAGAGGTACGGAGTCTATCTCTATCTATATTATCAAGTATTTCCTGGCGGTGTTCAGAGGAAATCATCGGAGACATGTCAGATATTGATCTGGAAAGATCAGGGGAGTCCTCAGGGCGTCGATGAACGACATGAGAACTTGTAACTTCCACGCCCGTGGCTTTCGCCAGAGATTCTCCCTCCTTCGGCAAGGGCGGCTTGGATTGCTCTTTCAATCGTCCATCTCTGTCCACGAGGCCATCAAAACTACCAACGGAAATTGAAGACTTATTCTTTCGCGCTTTTAAAATCGAGGCTCGTCGTATGATTTCCTCCCGAGCTTTCTGCCGTCTTGCCTCCGCTTCCTCACCTAGCTCTTCGGTCATGGATATGTCTTCCGTCGACCTGCGGTCTGTGGAAGGTTCTCGAGGATTAATCTCATCTCCAAGATTGTGTAGAGCAACTGCGATTTTCCGGCGGGAATTTTGAATCCACAGCTTCACGTGGGGGTTTTCGTAGACGGCAATTCCCGCGGCAACAAGAATAGTAACAGTAATCACAAGTCCTGGTAAGATAAAATAAGAATACGTTAGAGAACAGGAATGAGAGACGTATAAAGATAAGAAAAATCCAATAAAAGCAGAATCATTGGCTTCCACTGACGGAACTAATGATTGATGCTTGTAATAACATCCCCGGGTGAGATAACTAGTGGGGTTCAGATGCGTGTGGGGGAGACCAAGATGAACACACCTTTGGCTAACTGGGCGGGCATATTGATTCCGGTTCAGGGACTATTTCAAAAGAAACGGATTCATACACAGCTGATATAAGTATGCTCACAGCATCCATGGATTGGAAAAGGAGGAAGGCTGCTGATACATTGGATTAGTTAAAGCTGCAGGCGCCTTGCTGACTTACAAGTGAGTTACCTAATCTCAGCATATCAGTCTTGTGTCCCAGTTAAACTAAGTTAGCCGCAGATCAGGAGTTTAAATAAGCCTCCAAAACATGTGATGCCAACATCAACCCGACTTTGCATATACATCCATCGATCGAACGCTCTCTATAGAAAAGGAGTCAACTTCAAATTTTACTCGTCTAGTCTATCTCACGGAGATAGAATGGGCACTATGTCACGTCCCAATCCTGTCCAGCGGAATCTTACTTTAACTGAGGAGCTGGAGAGACTGGAACAGTCCATTACCCTAACCCTGCAAGGTACGAAGCATAAGACTTCTCCCTCCCGCATTTTCACTTGTCAACGCTGATCAATATATCGTTAACTGATTCATGTCTGCTTTATAGAAATTGACCATAACTTCAGCCGTGCCCACAGGATCGTCACGACTAGCATCCTCCCCATTGTAGAACAATATGCAGCGCAGTCGCGAGAAGTTTGGGAAGGGTCAAAGGTGGGTTCTCTCAAGCCGCAGTTCATATTGATAATTACACCTAAATGTAGCTGACGAAAGAAAATAAAAATTTAGTTCTGGAAGCAATTTTTCGAATCCAGTGCTAATGTTTCCCTCTCGGGCTACGAGGAACATCATCCCAGCGAAAGCGGACAGGAGGGCACATTTACCGAAGACTCAACCTTTAACACCCGCAATTCAACAGACGACGACGTTACAGAATCATACGCCACAACATCGTCTGGATCGCTAGATCACCACCGAGATGATGCTCCCGACCTCTCTTCGCTTACAATAACTCCATCCCACAGTACGCCGCGACCAAGAGTACACTTAGAGCGGGGCAACGACGACGATATAACGAGCTCTTCCATCAATTACCCCAACCCATACGAAGCTCTCCACAAAGTACCACAAGAAACGCCCTCCCGGTCGCGTATTGCTGAACCAGTCACGCCGGGGAGGACACAGCGGACACATGGTGTGACGCACCATGGCTCCCAAGCACCGACATTCTCAGTTTTAGCTCCGTCCCCCACCCGTGGGGTGCCGTCCACTGCCAAAAAAGCAGGCAAACTGACAGATCCAGTCCTTCACCGCATCTTGGATAAAACGTACCGAATTCAAGCCACCCCCCTGGCCAGCTCTCGCAAACAATACTACAATCCAACCCGCATCATCACCACTCCCAAATCAAAACCCAGATCAGGCTACCTGGATTCCTCCCCCATATCGAGCCCAGAATTCGAAGTCCCAAAACTTCACTCCGAAGTTTTTTCATCCCCAATCAAAGGAGGTGGTGAGACTCGGCCTCGTCAGCGACGGCCAAGTAAATCCTCGAGGATCCCACAACCAGGCATCAGTGTGCTTACTCCCGCCAAACACAAGCAAAATGCTTCGAAACCTAAATCTAGTAGGGGTTGGGATAGTGATGACCTTGACGATGGCGATGATGACGATGCTACCTCCCTTTTCGGAAACAGTCCACCTAAAACAATACAGTTCCATATTCCACAGAGCAGATTGCTTAAGACTCCTGGTATGTTTAATGAAAACACGTACATCAGAACCCCACACAGATGTCTCCGGGCATAGAAAGTTACACTCGTGCACAGAAACTAACGCAAAACAGCCAAGGAAGCCTCTAAACGTATTGTTTCTGACCTGCTTTACACCGCTGGCGGCGGCGAGGACAACACAGACGAGTTCGAAAATAGCCCCAGCATAGTTCGTCGGGCGGCAGGGTTAGAAGATGAAAGTCTCTAAGAAATGAAGGAAGTGTGTGGGTTGCAAACATACGATTGCTTTGACTTACGTCTATTTCCCGCAGTTGTTTAATCCATTTTGTCAACCTTTTCATCACGACAGCATAAGATTCTATAAAACTCCATGAGACACGCAACTGTAAACTTGAAAAACTTATTATCAAATTCAATGAAAACTAAGGATGAAAAATTGATAAGGTGTTTGTTCTTGTCAACCATTTATATCAACTTTCATAAGTATATATATTGGGAGTTTATTTTAGTGTAATCTACGCCATTCCAAAATAGAATTTATGTGAAATACAAACTCAAAAAGCGAATTGAACACTTCATGCTTCCAACTGCAAATATTACTAGCTGGGAGTATCATCAGAACTTTACACGTTTACAACACTAAAAACCCTATAACCCGATTAATAATCCATAGAATTGGGGCCCTTGTTGGGCCGTAGGCCGAGCGCGGCCCCGCACGCAATTCCGCGTATATGGCCTGTGAGACATGTTGAGACCTGTAGCACTGAGTGGAACTTCATCATTTTTGTGGGTATATATATCACTAGCACAAGTATCAAGCAGAAAGAAGTGCTTGGTTAAATGGAAGGTCATTGCATCACATCGTGGAGGAAGGATTCTAGGATTTTCTACGAGCCATTAAAGGGGGCCGATGAGAGTGGGGAACTAGAACTCGAATGAGAAGAAGAATGGGAATGAATTTCAAGATGGAAGATGGGATATGCAAGGAATGCAATCAGCCATCACCTAGACGGGGAAAAAAAAAAAAAAAAGGGACGAACAGCAACATAGATAAAAATAAGTGACCAGTGCGAAGGAGCATACAAGGATAGGCAAGAAGATAAAAAGGTATAAAGTTGAAATATACAAAAATACGGTGGCTTTTTCAGGGTATGAAGTTGGGCGTTTATAGATCCGCCAGCAGAATAGAATGAGCTAAGAAAAGAGAGAAGGAAAAAAAAAAAGAAAGAAAGAAAGAAAGAAAAGATAAAAACAAGTCGATAACTAATGAACAATAGCCAGATGGGAGATCTCTTTTCCTTTTCCTTGTTTGGAATTGAGCAAAAACGGAGATTCGGAGGAAGGCAGGGATAAGGGTATACCGAGTATATAAACAGAAAAGCTTAAGAGGTATTGATGGGATAGCAAAACGATCGACGCAATTCATACACAATCATGCAGCAAAATGCAACTGGGTTTCTAAGCATGGGTAATCAAAATGGGTGGAGGGCTGGCATCCAAGATGCTATGCCTCAAGTGAATGCAAGCAAGTAGCCTGGACGAGCTGGCGGGCGGCACGAAGCAAGTACAGCGATAGAAGGTCATGGTGAGTAACATTGATAAACAAGGAGATAAAAAAGTATCAAGAGCCATTTATCCAAACGCAAAGACGAAAATGGTATGGAAAAGGGGGTATGAAACCAAACGACACCAAAACCGTGAAGGAATGCAAAAGAGAAGAAGTTAGAAAGATGCATTACTCCTCCATCCCCATAAATATATCCTGACAATTATCAACCAAAAACTGCAGCGCCTCATTCTTCTTCTGCACATCGCTCATTTCCCGACTCAGACTTTCGGGCCGCAAAATCGTCGGTGCAAACACCACAGCAACATTCAAGCTCGTCATCAGATTCTCTTTCTCGCGCTCCACGACACGGCGGAGATGGAAGATCAGGAATTCAAGCACATCACGATGAGTGGTCGGAAGGCTCAGTAGGCTGCGACGCATCAAGTCAACACGGGCGGAGACCGGGGTAACCCCCCATGTGTCAAGGAGTTTATCATATACTTCATAGGTGATGAGTGGGGTGGGTAGTTTGCGGAAATATTGTTTCAGGGTCGAGGTGACAGCGTGGATGTCGAGGTCTGGGTCGGAAATGTCGTAATCGGAAGACTTCTCGAAGCCTTCGCGGATCATTTGGACTTGGGAACTGCCACCAGATTTGCGATAGATGCCCTCGCAATCCATACCTAATTAAATAAAGAACGGTTGTTAACATTAATAAATTTCATGAACAGAAATAAAAATCAGAAAAGGTAATTAGTCGCTTACCTCGAAGCTCTACTTCCTCGATACAACGTGTGACAATACCTGGAATAACACATTTCTCAACCTCGATCCGTTGTTCAAGGTCAGTGCCAAAAAGCACTTCCGGAAAAGCAAAGTCAGCATGCTCGTATTTCAATGAGAAAGGATATGTTGTAGAACAGTTCTCACCATTACTATTATTAGTAGTAACTTCGACAAGAGCGGTAGTACTCTCATTCGACTGCGCTGTCCAAATCCCAGGCTTCACCTTCGAGTTTCCGAAAAATCCAAAACCCTGACGGGTCGACTCCTGAGGTTGACCGCGAACAGATCTATCATCACCATTTTGCGATGCCGCAGATCCATACGGTGCTGTTTCCGCAAACTGACCATCCTTTTGATATTTGCCTTCTGCATAATTGAAAGCGCCCTTGATACCCTTGGTAACGCCCTTGGCGACATTCTGGCCACCTTTCTTCCAATTGAATTTGCGGACTTGGCCCTTACGGATACTGATAACTTGTGGTCCTTGGAGAACGGTTGCTTGGTCTGCCTCTTCGGACTGAGTGTTAGAGGTTGATGTGAGAGCGTCATTTGAGGCCCGGTTTTCGCGACCTTCAAGTGAGGCGACAGATTTTTCCTTTTGGTGAGAGGAAATACTCAATCCATTGGTTACCTGGCGACTGCTTTCTCCGCTGCTAGAGGTTGTGTTGGCCCTGTAGATCCCTTGGATCTGGTGAACTAGCTGGTTATTAAGCTCCGCGAGTTGCGAATTCTTAAGAGATAGCTGTTCAAATTCTTGAAAGCTCTTATCTTTCATGCGGCCAAGATTGGTCAGTTCTTCAAGGATGGCATTACGCTTTTGGATCAACTCCTCAATCTGAGGGGCAAACGAATCTTTGAGTCGCTGTACAGACTCCGCAAATTCACGTAATACGCTATTGCTTAGTCTCCTTAGATCGAGAGGGGCTCCACTCTGCTTTTCGGCAGCGATGCATTCTGTAAGGACCTCCAGCTCACGAAGGACAATCTCCTTCTGAGCATCAAGAAATACCATAGTGGATCGCTTTTCGCGAAGTTCCGTGTTAACCTGTTTGATGTTTGCCGTGGCATTAAGTGAAGCCTCCAACGCTGAGATTTTCTGATCCTTCTCAACAATCTTCTGCCGTTCTCTTCGGAGCTCGTTCTTGTACCAGGAAAGCTCATCGCGATTTTCAGGGCAACTCCCACTTGGACTGCTGATGTCATTCACAAAGTTGCTTCCATTTGACGGTGACTTAGGCCATTTCTGCTCTTTCGATAGTCGGGCACATTTATCGCTTAAGCTTCTTCCATGTCGGACGGAATGCGACATCCGCTTCAGCAAGGATTCTTGATTCTGGCTATCATCACTGCCAAGAATTCGAGCCATATCTTCTTCCAAGGAGAAGTCTCCCACCCCACTGTAACGCAACCTCGGGGAAGCTCCAATATCCGGCTCACGATGACTATCAGAATGCACAGTCTTCACCGATTCGTTACGAGAATGATGCCCACGAGGGTCTGCAGATTTCTGTTTTGACACGCTGCCAGACCCAGAACGCTTGTGAGGTGAGGGAGTAGAAACTGAAGCATCGGAAACGCGCTTTGACACTGACGCCTCTTGTACCCTCAATCCCTTTGCACCCGTGGATTTGTCCGCCTGGGGAGATGAAAAATTCGAGGACGCCGGCGCAGCATCGTTTGTAATACTAGATGTTGGTGGTGTAGACTTGCTAACAGGTGCTACAGATGCTACCACCTTCCTCTGGAGAGATTGATGTAATTTGGCTTCGAGAGAATCGCCTCTCTTAGGCGGATATTGCAGTCCCGGTCTCGCAGGCTCAACCGATCCATTTTCTTTCATTCGGGGTTCCTGTGAAAAGCGTGAAGGTGCATTATTGTTGAGTTCTGGTGCCGGAGACGTTTGATTTGTGACCCGTGCTGTATCCCGAGGAGGAGGACTTATAACGATGTCTTCGGTTTCTTCATGTGTAGGAGACGTCACTGTAGCCGTCAAACCGAGGTCAGGCCGAGACATGTTCTCAGAGCCACCTCGTGACCTCCTTCCCTTAGGGACGTCTTGCAACTTAAATTTATCTCCACGGCCCGACATATCGGCCCCATGGCCGGAACTGTTCTGCAATATATTCTGTTGGCGAATATTATCATTGTTAGCAGGAGGCGATACAAGAGTAGAAGCTCTTGAGGGTGTCGTGCTCTCTTGGAATTTGTGAGAGCCTGGGTCTGCGGGACGCTTGTCTTGATATGGACTTGGCTGCTCAGAAGAGGCCTCAGGGTGATTCTGGTCCCGGAGGCATTCATGTACGTCTGTAGACTGTGTGCGAGAGCTGTCTCCAGATATGCGCTGACCAAAGGACTCTCGTGGCACAACAGGAGAAGCTTCTGATGGGGGTGGTTGAGGAGAGCGAGTCTCAGAAGCTGCGGGATCAAATGCAACAGGAATGAGAAACTCTTCTCCACCAGATACATCAGATTTATGTGAAATAGCAGAATGACGATTCATTTTGTAAGTGCTGGAAGGAAGGATAAGATTATCTATTTCACAAGTGATTAGTCTTAAAAGAAGTGATCAAGATTGCAAACTTGGACGATAGGACCGCGGATGTACCTTGGTTAACGGGCTGTGATTCAGGAGTCCCAACATTTTTGTCATCCCCCGAGCTTTTCCGCTCTTCGGATCTTGGACGCGATGGCAATTCAGTGGGCAGTTCAATGGGCATTTCAGCTGGCAGCTCAACGGGCATTTCAGAAGGAACTTCAGCGGGCAGTTCATGGTATTGATCGGGTAATGGACTGGGCGAAGTTGCTGATAACCCATTGCTCGAAGCGATGGTTGTCGGGAGTGACGGGAGAGATTTGTCTAGCTGGACATTGGGGACTTTTTGACGCTGCCTGGCCGTTCGCTTCCGCCTTCGTGCCATCAGTGATTCATGACAATCCATACAAAAGATACCCTGTGATGTCCGCGCATAGCGGAGATTCTCGATCTTCCGCTTACAGTTGCGACATTTGAAGCAGGTTGCGCAAAAGGCCTGGTCGCCGGTGAGGATTGCTAGGTCTTCGATCTTGTCTCCACAGGAACTGCAGCTGTAAGTACAACTGTTGCAAATGAGAGAGCCGTCGCCAAGCAGAAGGAGGTTTGCCTCTGAATCGAGAAAGGTGCCGCATGTGTTGCATCGAAAACAGTCAATATGCCATCGTTTATTGGCTTTCAACTAATTAGTTTTGTTTCTTGCGACTATATATTTAATTATTGGTTGATGATAAGGAGGGCCTACTCACCCAGCTCGAAAGCTTTGCCTTCCTCCAGTATCTTATATCATACTTCCGTTAGCCCAAGAGACTACTTATCAAAGAAAATACTAAAAAATGATCTGCGTTGCAGGTGGGGTCAACCGTACCTCTCCGCAACCCTGACATGGAAATGGGACGTCATCCAGATCTAATGGAGAGTCCGGTTGGCCAGTGGGTGACTCCATCTCTCAATTCTCTCCCCTTCGACACTCTCAATCGTAGTGTAGTACCCGCTGGTCTCTATGCTTATTATCCCCAACTCTTGTGATAGTGTGGTGTTGTATTCTAGCCTGGGTAAATCTAGAACTCGGAGATCCGAAACCATTCGGGATGCAGACACGACAATGGATAACTGCTGGTGGCGGAGGGGTCCAGGATCAATATTTTCTCCTTGAAAACTCCTCATGCAAACCTTTCTATATACAGTGGGGAGACCAGTTCCTATCAAGTTGCAATAGTCGATTTGGAGAAGAGAGCCAATGGTCACGCGAGAAGACAGGATCGGAGGATAGGAGGGGGCGGGAGAGGGGAGGAGGGGAGGAGGGGAGGAGGGGAGGAGGGGGGGAGGGGAGGGGAGAAGGGAGAGGGGAGAAGGGAGAGGGGAGGAGGGGAGAGGAGAGGGGAGAAGGGGAGAGGAGAGGGGAGAAGGGAGAGGGGAGAAGGGGAGAGGGGAGGGGAGAAGGGGAGGGGAGAAGGGAGAGGGGAGAAGGGAGAGGAGAGGGGAGAGGGGAGAGGGGAGAGGGGAGAGGGGAGAGGGGTGAGAGAATGTGGCTAAGGAAGTCAGGGACAAACAGGCAGTAGGACGAGATATGGAGTAGGAATACTAGAACACTACACAACGTAGTCAAGGGAGGGCGGGTTTGGTTGGCCGTGTAATATGACGGACTTGGATGGGGTTGGAGCGCGTGAGACGTCCACCGGTCCACGGATGGGCACAGAGACAAACGTCGAGGCTTTGTGTGGACGACCTCAGAGCAACGCCTAACACAAATGAGACAAGGTCAGCAACCGGCACACAACGTTAATTCGGGGAGCATTGGCTGAGGAGGAACACGTAAAGCAAAGGAAAGAAGAGGTAAAGAATAGGCGGGGTGGAGAGACGTTGAAATGCGAAACACGCCAGAAATTAACGGGTCGTTGATGGCTGGAGAAGCGTGTTGTTGTTGTACCGACCGTACCTAACAGGTGCTCCGCAGACGGGATGGAAATCCCAGGCGGGCACTCGGTTGGTGAATCAGGAGAATAGCCCACTGATGAATGACGAGGATGTGCAGAGTTGGACTTAAGTCTCGATTGAAATCAGAGAAATGGAATGGGAGATGTAATAAGGGATGATGTTATATAGCTTAATTATTATAGTGACGTTCGACCAACAGGTCTAACAAACAACGAGTGATTGACGATCCTGATGCAAAGGGGGAACAGATTCCGAGAGAACAGGATAGGCGATGATAAAAAGAACCTATTGCACGTCTGTCAACGTCCGTTCCCTTTGTTAATTTTCTCCTGGAGCACTCCGTCTAGAAAAACGACGTGGTTGGTACGTAAAATTTGTTAAGTTGCTGGTTTACGTCCGACTAAACATGGAGAAGAAAAGAAAAAAAGACAGCACGGCAGACAACGCAGGGAATGAATATTATTAACTAATGGGGCAGAGCTGACACTAAGACACACCAACACACAAACGAACAGAAAATAACATTAATAGTTTAACTAGTTAACTATTCCTGTGGGTAGTTCTTTTTAATAATAGTTCACTCCCCTCAGCCGCGCGTGGAATTATCCATCTCATCTCTATCTAGATGTTCGGTTGTTCGATTTGGTCTCCAGGTGTAACTATCTACTGCGGACAATGGTTTCTTGGAATAATTTTATGTTTTTTTATACCAAACATGCACAAAATATACACTCCGCGTTTCAGCGGGCTAAACAAGCTGTTGAGCAACATATATCTGGCCTCCTGGGGGAAGCCATGTTACAATTATCTCTCCTGCTGTGAACCCTTCAAAAACGTCCTGGATCTCGGTCTTAACGCCACGAACAAGTCTGATAACCAGACACTGGTAGACACGCACGCAAAAGCGGAGTGAAACGATGCTACCGCTCCAAAGGACCGAAATTATTTCGCTAGACCCAGCGTTAAAACAGCCACTCCTGCGCCATAGTGGAAGAAAAGCCGGCTAATTAAATTTACCCTTCTTGACGCGCTTTCCAGCAATCAGGAGGAATAAAAACCGCATGTGGAGAAGGAGAAGAGAAGGACTGAGAAGAACCAGTTGATACCAAACCAAAAACCACGTCTTCAAGGGACAAGAACCACGGAATATATGGCATCGAAGAATTGGAAGGATATCCAGGACCCCGCCACCTTTCTATCTCACTGAAACATTAACTGCCTAGCCATGGATAAAAGCAGGGGGATTCCTTTTGAGATTAGGATGATGCAAATCCCCTCCCCTACAGGTCCCCAGCGGACATCCTGGCGGAGAAAGTCGAGGATCAGTTTACTAACGGGAGGAACTGATCGCTCTCTGTCCCGTCCAGACATGCAACAAAGAGCCCAGACTGGCCCTTAGTTCATATATTCTCCTCATCTTATATCCCGCAAGCATCATCCCATATAATCTCAGCTCGCAAATACCTCCCAGTTTGGCACATGAGACAGACAACTCAGCACCCACTAATGTTGCCCATATAACTACATCTGCAATAATGTCCGTGATAATGGACCCTTGTGTATATGTCAGTTTATGCACAAACAACGGTCCTAGAAGCGGGTTCTTTGACCAGCAAGGGAGGGAAGCATGGAGAACAATATACATTATCATTGCCCTTCAGAGGTACACTTTCATAAACTATGTATGATGACGACAACATTAAACATGTGAGCATACTCTTTTAAAACTACCCCATAGAGAACCATAAATTCCCTCACTAAAAAATAAATATCGAATTACCGTCAATTGGGTAAATGAAGTACCATTTTGCCCCGCCCAAATACCCTCAATATTAATAAAGTTGATACAAGTTTCAGCAGCATAATTATGTGGATGACGAAACATTCACAGGCTTTCCTGCATACTCTTAACTTCATATTTTGGTATTCACCGATGATCTGACCCCTCCAAGTCAATCTTCTGATTCAAGTTGCCATTCAATTTCCCCAGCGATTCCGTCAATCACTTGAAATAACACAGCGGATTTAACTAGTCTGATGGCTCCTCCTCTACCTGCGCCGGATGGTCCAGAGTTAAAAACAATGGGGACCAGAGGGGGGAGGTTAATAGCCTGGGCCCACTTTTATAAAACAATGATCAACTGATCACCCATCTAAAGTAAACACAGTCTAGGGGTAGATTAGGTTAAGATTAGGTTAGTATACTAGGATTAGGATTAGTTAGGGGCTTTAGATGAGAGTTGGGTTAAGGGGAAGGACCTGAGAAAGGTTTGCATGAGATTTGAACGAGAGTGTGTAGTTTTAATGAGGGGTTGTCATGGTTTAACGTTATTATACAGCATAAAACCCCTGTCCCGCCGAATTTTAAAACCATGTTCAGCTCTTTTGAAACCAACGTTCAACTGTACGCCCGCACCAGAGAAAACACTCACAGTTTCCTTCCTTTCCCAGGTTCTGACGGAGTTAGTTTTAAAAATATTTTATCTATGAGGAGTCCCGCTTGACCGCTGGTCGGCGTCAGTCTGAGCCTCTGAGGTCTACATCACATGAATATGGCAGCACAGCACTTAACAAAGAACATGCCTTTGGTATTAGGAACGCTGGATGGGCTAGCGGAACAGTACCGAGTGCGATATTGGAGAGAAATGGATGACTACCTCGACCCTGCCTGCATCTATATACAGAAACTCCGCTGATATTCACGTTGAAACTCTACAATCCCTCGTTCGTTTATATTGCTGTTTTGAAAAGGTGACTAAGATTAACCAGCAGAGAGGACGGAACAAGGGGACTGCTTTTGTTCGGGATTAAACTAATTACACTTCAATCCTGCGCCTAGGCGTTCAGCTCACGACCCCATGTATGTATGTACAGTACATGCATTGGGGAATTGATCGAATTTAACCTTATCGCTTTTTACTCTTCGAATGAGTCACTTGATTTAAACGATCAAAAGTGACGACGACATCTATGACTTATAAGGAATACGCTATCAAATACATAGCAAATATGCGGGAAGTTCAATCTTGCAAAAAGTACGGTTGTTCTTTCATGTGCAGTCTTCTCAAAAACCTGAAAATGATACTCCCATATAACTACCCCGTGCTACGTGTGGTAGATGCGACAGAAACTAAAAGAAGAAAAGAAAAAAGAAAAGAAAAAAGCTAGCTGACAATTACGACATCCATTGAAATACTCAACTTCATACTCGCATAAGACGATGATCCTCCACGATCGGGATCTCATTCAGCCTCCGCCCCTCAAATATATGATTCCCTAGCCAATGAAATTTTTGAGAGACAGAGATCGTTATTGTTTAGTGGGTGGGATCTTGGAAAGATCGCACTTGTATCGTTTCGTGTTTCAAAATGTATCCAAATCGAGGTTAGCAATGGATGGATTAGCTAGTTGGATAGATCCTGGATCCCTGGATTTTATTCTGAGAAACGAAAAACAAAGGCTGAGCGTTTGCCAATTTCTTGAAGACTAGGGGAAATAATTCAAATGAGTTGAGAATTGAAGAGATATGCGTGAACAATTTCTACTGCTGCACAGAATGTTAATAACTTCAACTGAAATCCTTGTGCACGAAGCAAAATGATTCAGAAGGTCTATTGGGGATACAACCAAAAAAAAAAAAAAAAAAAAAAAAAAAAAAAAAAAAGCACAGCAGCGGGTATTGAATCATAAATTGCCCCTTGATAAAATCAGAACGAGGTAAATTGAAGTAGAAGTAAACTGACAAACTTCCTGCTGTGATACAAGGGGGAAGTGGAGGAAAATGAAAAGTATCAGGCGGGGATGAAATAATAAGGGATATCAGGACGAGAGAACAGAATTAAAAGTTAGGAGTTACGAAGAAAGGGAAAAAGAAATATACAATTAAGAACACATAATACCACTATATGGAATCACTTTTTTTTAAAAAAAAAGAGAAAAAAGAAAAGAAAGAAAAGAAAAGAAAAGAATAATGTAAAAGGGAAAAGCCAATCGAAGCAGGAAAGTGGAAAACAGCTACATATACTCCAATAACACCTCAAATAATCATAACGATAACACCATACCGACAACCAAGCACCATGAATCGAGGAAAGAAGAGGGACAATGCCATAAATAGAGCAGACAAGAAACATATAAGGAATTACGCAGAATGTACACGCCCCCCCAACGCCTGAAGCATCTCGAAACTGGTTAGGGACCTAAAGTCCCAATTCGACATTGATCGATCATCTCCCCGGCTTCCTCACAATGTAATAAGTTAGCAATGGACGATGATCTTCAGCCTTAATCATACGCCAAAATGCTTCTTCTGGCTTAACCATCTCATGCAGCTCTAGACAAAACTCCATTACTGCCCGTCTTATATCTGGTTGCGGATCCTTAAGGCTCCCATTGGCAAAGTTGCCCAGGCGCTGCAGCACCGGCTCACTAAGGAATAGATCCTTTTCGTTTAGTCGACGTAGGAGGCCGCTGAGGATATATCCGCCCATTGCAACCATTCGATGGCTTTCCGGAGACTTCTCCTCTGATTCCAGCAGATCCAGTACAGCGTCAATCACATCTGCCGGATCACAAGCTCCTACAATATCTTCTGCTGTTTCTTCGAGGCCGCTAACAATATGATTTGTAAGCTCATAGTGCTTGCGTGCCGTAATAATTGCCGTCATAGCTCTCGCATAGTATGTGGAGAAATAATTACGATTGATCGAGAAAAGCAAACGAATCGTCACTAATACCTGCGTTTTCATGTCGAGCGGTCGTCCAGTTCCAGATTTCTTTTCTGTATCTGGAGCTTCCAGCGCGTTTAACAACACCAACAACGCTTCGCCATATTTGGCTTCGTCATTGAATATTGACTCATGATATTTGATCAAACTTTGCACCTTTCGGTATCCATGGACGTCAATAGCTCCAGATCTGATTTTATTAAGTCCCCTATCAATCATATCTCGTGCCCGGGATGGGTCTTTCGATCGTGGACTCAGGCTCCTTCGTTTTTCTGAAATCTCCACCTTTTTCCATCGTCGATGTATATTCTCGCTCGCAGGAAAGGCAACGCTGGCCGGAGGAGAAAATGTTGAGAGTAGTTGTTGCTGATTGTGTTTGCGATTGGGGGTGTTTGCCGGTTCGTTGATAGAATGTTCTTCAAGAGGAATTGCTTTGGCAGGCGAACGGGGTGTTCTTGGGGACATTCCAAGTGGAAATGGGTAGGGGATATTTTCCTTGGCATTTGGAGACTGGGGGTCTTCATAGACCTTGAGGGTGTCCACAGGATGATTGCCTTCACTGCTAGAAAGGGAAAGCCGGCCCGCTGGCGCGGGCATTCTGGGCGCCACGTCATCGTTGTGTTTAGAATAGCGCCTGTTAGGGCTGGTCGTTGTAGCCAAAAGTTCACCAGAATACACTTGGGATTGGAAAGACGGTGACATGGGGATACGAGAAACGGAGACGTCGCTGCTGCTTAAACGGCGGTGGCTCGAAAGAGTGCCATGAGACGTGGTCAGAGATCTAGAAGTAGGAAGATCAGCCATAAGATCGGTTTCGTCTTGGCTGAAGACATCATCACTGGAAGCAGGGACGACGGCTTCAGTAGGGCTAAGAATCTTTTCCGCAGTTCTATAGTCGGCCTTCAGTACGGCTATCGCTATATTTTCTTCAGTTCTAGCCGGGCTAGCCGGGCTAGCAACTTGTGGTTTTGCGTCTACAGAAGATGCGTAATTTGGTTTAACCGCAGGACCTGCCATTAAACGAATTTCACCAGATTTCAAACCTGTAATATCAAGCCGTTTGGGTTTTGGCTTTGCTGTGCTGACAGGAGCACTGCTTTCAAGTCTCGACTTGGGACGAGAAGGTGTGGGGTTGGGTTTTCTTCCCGGAGTTGCTGTTATGGTCTTACTCCGTGGTTTCGGAGGGCTTTCTGGGGGACTTGATAATCTCGGATGAGACGCGCTTTGAATAGACCTATTACGCGATGAGTATGGATCGGCAGTAGCAGGTCGCATCAACTCAGGCCGTCGTGGTCGTGAAGAGGGACGCATTGGGGCAGAGGAGAGGGAGGTATTTTGGGACGAAATATGAACCCCAGTAGGCACTGTGCGAGCGGTCGATCCCGGTGGTTTGTGTATCGGGGGTTTAGCCGATTTTACATCCGGAAATG